GAATGTAAATTAGTACAGTCACTACTGAAAACAGTATGGAGGTTTCTCAAAAAAATTACACATAGGATTACCATATGATCCACCAATCCCACTATTTAGTATATATCCAAGGAAATGAAATCAGTATGTTGAGAAGATATCTGCATTCCCACAATCATTACATTACTCACAATAGCCAAGGTATGCAACCAACCTAGGTGTCCATCAATAAATGAATGAATTTGTTAAAAGTGGTTGTATACATACACAGTGGAATACTATTTGGCCTTTAAAAAGGAAATCCTGTCACTTGTGGCAACATGAATGAAGCCAGAGGATATTATGTTAAATGAAATAAGCCAGGCTCAGAAAGACAAATACTCCATGATCTCACATGTAGAATCTAAAAAAGCTGAACTCCTAAGTAGAGAGGAAAATGGTAGCTACCAGGGGTGTAGCAAGAGGAGGTTAAGGACGTTACAACAAAAATTCCATGAGTTTTCTTTTCTATTTTTCAAAAACTGTAACACATTACACTTCATTTTAAACAAAAACATGCAGCATCTCAGGTTCTTCAATCTAATAATATGTTATAAATACTATAATTTAATAAGTAGAAATATATCTGAAGAATCAACAAAAAGAATGATTGAAATCTGGCTATTTTGTGATTAAGATGTATAGAAAAGTGGCAAATTCTTATGATTTCCTTGATTTAGAAAAGTATAGACCTCAGCTGGGTACAGTGGCTTAGACATGTAATCCCAGCACTTTAAGAGGTCAAGGGCAGGAGGACTGCTTGAAGCCAGGAATTCAAGATCAGCCTGAGCAACATAGTGAGACGTTGTCTCTACAAAAAAATTAAAACAAAACAAAACAAAAAAACAGTAGGGCAAGGAGGCATGCACAACAGTCCTAGCTACTCAGGAGGCTGAGGTAGGAGGATTGCCTGAGCCCAGGATGTCAGGGTTGCAGTGAGCCATGATTGCACCACTGCACTAGTCTGGGCAACAGAGTGAGACCCTGACTCAAAAAAAAAAAAAGAAAAGGACACAATAAAACTAAAATTGCCTATGCTAGCATGACTTGAATAACTGATTATAAATATATTATGCAGTTGATTCATATGAGAGCCTGAAATCCCGCGCCTTTGGGAGGCTGAGGTGAGTGGATTGCCTGAGACCACGGGTTCAAGACCCGCCTGGGCAGCAAGACCTCATCTCTACAATAAATCAAAAAATCAGCTGGACATGGTAGCGCATGCCTGTAATTCCAGCTACTTGGAAGGCTGAAGCGGAAGGATCGCTGGAGCCCAGCAGGTTGAGGCTGCGGTGGCCGGCAGCAGCCACTGCACTCCAGTCTGGGCGACAGAGTGAGACTCCAACTCAAAAAATAAAAAAATAAAAAAGGATACCTTTTGGTAAACTTATAAAAATCATAACATGTGATTACTTTTGATCCAGATCAAAAGATGAGGCTATGATATAACATATGTTTAGAATAAATTTTAAGTTGAAATTTAGAAACGTGAAAATTTCAATGTGAAGAAAATTCCAGATGTTTGCAACAAAAAACTGTATTGTGACTCGGAGTAGACTATAATAAAAGACCTAGACAAGATTTTAGATGCAACACTCTGCCCATATAGAAAATGCACCACCTTATATTATATGACAGCAAGTAAGGCATCAGAAATGACAACATACGTTCATATTTAAAGCTTTGAACTTTCTTCTAGCTTTCTTATAGCTTTAACAATAGAAACATGATAAATTTTCACTCAAAAATGGACTTGGACTACAGCTCACACCTGTAATCCCAGCACTTTGGGAGGCTGAGGTGAGAGGATAAGGTAAGTTAGACCAGCAAAATTAAAAATGTATATGCAAAGGACAATATCAACAGAGAGAAAAGGCAACAAACTGAATGGGAAAATGTTTTTGCACATCACATATCTGACAAGAGAGTGATATGGAGAATATATAAGTAACTCCTATAACTCAACAACAAAAGCAACAAACAGCTTGATTCAAAATCAAGTAAATAACTAGACAATTTTTTCCAGGGAAGATATATAACTGCCAAATAAGCACACTAATACATTAGGGAAATACAAATCAAAACCACAATGAAATACCACTTCACATCTATTAGGATGGTAATTATTTAAAAAATACAGAAAATTAAGTGTTGGTGGGGAGGTGGAAATAACACCCACGCTGGTAGGAAGGTAAAATGGTATAGATTCTGTGGGAAATAGTAGGGCAATTCCTCAAAAAATTAAACGGAACTACCACCTGATTCAGCAATTCCACTTCTAGATATAAAATAGTAAAAGTAGTGACTTGAGTAGATATTTGTACACATATGTTCATAGAAGCATTATTCACAACAGCTAACACATGGAAGCAACCCATATGTCCATCAATGAATGAATACATGCCATGGGATATTATTCAGCCTTAACACTGAAGGAAATTCTGACAGTACAACACAAATGAACAGAGGACATCATACTGTCGGTCACAAAGGACAAATACTGTCATACATCGTTTAACAACAGGATATGGTCTGAGAAATGCATCATTAGGCCGCTTCCTTGTGCAAACATCATAGAATATACTTACATAAACATAGATGGCATCACCTACTACACACCTAGGCTTTGTGACATAGCCTACTGCTCCTAGATTACACACTTGTACAGCATGTGACTGTATGAAATACTGTAGGCAACTGTAATACAACGGTCAGTTATGTGTGTGTTTAAACATATCGAAACATAGAAAAGGTAAAAATGTGGTATAAAAGATAAAAAATGAGCCAGACACAAAAGCTCACACCTGTAATCCCAGCACTTTGGGAGGCTGAGGTGAGAGGATTACGTAAGCCCACGGGTTCGAGACCAGCCTGGGCAATATGGTGAGACCTTGTCTCTACAGTAAATCAAAAAATGAGCTGGGTGTGTTGGCACACACCTGTAGTTCAAGCTATTTGGAAGGCGGAGGTGGATGGATCGCCTGAGTCCAGCAGGTCGAGGTTGTGGTGGCCATGAGCATGTCACTGCACTTCAGCCTGGGTAACAGAGTGAGATTTTGACTCAAAAATAATAAAAAATAAAAAATGTTACACCCGCATAGAACTTAACATGAGCTTGCAGGACTGGAAGTTGCTCTGGGTGAGCCAGTGAGTGATGGTGAGTGAAAGTGAAGGCCAAGTACATTAGTGTGCATCACTACAGATATTACATACACTGTGCACTTAGGCTACACTAAATTTACAAAAAACTACCTTTCTTCAATAATAAGTTAACTTTATCTTACTGTGACTTTTTTTTAACTTTATAAGCTTTTAAATTTCTTTTAACTTTTTAACTCATTTGTAATAACACTGAGCTTAAAACACCATTGTCTATCCATACAAAATATTTTCCTTCTTTATATCTTAATTCTATAAGCTTTTATTCCTAGTAAATTTTTTTTTTTTTTTTTTACCTTTTAAAGTTGTTAAAAAAACAAAGACACGGCCAAGGTGAGAGAATTACCTCGGCCCACGGGTTCAAGACCAGCCTGGACAACTTGGCAAGACCTCATCTCTACAATAAATAAAAAAATTAGCCAGGAGTGGTAGTACACCTGTAGTTCTGGCTACTTGGAAGGCTGAGGCGGAAAGATCACCAGAGCCCAGCAGGTCGATGCTGGGGTGGCCATTAGGGAGTCACAGCACTCCGGCCTGGGCGACAGAGTGAGACTCCAACTCAAAAAAAACCAAAACCAAACAAACAAAACCCAAAGACATAAGTACATACATTAACCTAAGCCTCCACTGGGTCAGGATCACCATTATCACTGTCTCTACTGCCACAACTTGTCCCACTGGAAGATCTTCAGGGGCAATGACATGTATGAAGCCATCATCTTCTATTAGAACTCGATCTCTGCCTAAGGCTGTCTTACAGTTAATCTTTCTTTTTTTTTATAAGTAGAAGAACTATATTCCAAATTAACAATAAAAGTATAGTAGAGCAAAACAAAACAAAAGTATGACAGCATAGCAAATATATAAACCAGTAACATAGCAATTTATTGCCCATAATATTGTATGTGGTATACTTTTAGACGAGGGGCTGTGCAGTAGGTATGTTTATACCAGCATCACCACAAACACGTGAGTGACGTGTTGCACTACATTATAACAAAGCTATAGTTACCAGGAAATAATCTTATCTCATAATCTTCTGGGACCACCATTATACATGCAGGCAGCTATAGTCGCTAGGTGATAATCTTATCTCATCATCTTACAGGACCACCATTATATATGCAGTCTGTCATCGACTGAAATGCCATCATGCAACATGTGACTGTATTGTATGATTCCACTTTTATAAAGTAACTAGAGTGGTCAAATTCTTAGAGAGAAAGAAGAATGGTAGTTGCTAGAGGTAAAGGGAGAAGGGAATTGGAAATCAGTGTTTAGTGGGCACAGAAATTCAGTTAAGGAAGATGAAAAAGTTCTGGCAATGGATGGATGGTGGTGATAGCTGCACAACAACGCCAATGTTCTTAATTCAAAAGAATAGTATACTTCAAAATGGCTGGTTGGGCACAGTGGTTCATACCTGTAACCCAACACTTTGGGAGGCTGAGGACTATTTGAGGCCAGGAGTTCAAGACCAGCCTGGCCCACATAGTGAGAACTTATCTTTATAAAAAATAAAATAAAATAATTAGCCAGATGTGGTGGCACATGGCTGTCGTTCCGACTACTTAGGAGGCTGAGACAGGAGAATTGCTTGAGCCCAGGAGGTTGAGGCTGCAGTACTGCAGCCCGGGTGACAGAGCAAGATCTTGTGTCTCAAAAAAAAAAAAAAGTTATGTCTATTTTACAATGAGTAAAAAATGTAGTTAGAAATGAATATGTATTAAAAATAGGATCACAGTCATGAGGATGAAGATAGGTAGAAGGAAGAAAAAACCAGTGCCTTATTTTCACATTACTGTATTGTTTCTATGTGGTACCTGGATTTCAAGCTCTGCAATGTGCTGCTGTAGTTCAGCCACGGCGGCTATGCTATCTGCTTCCCGGAGTCTCACAGCCATCACTTCTTCCTTGTTCTGGAGTGGCCAACAAAATACACAAATAAACCAGATGTGTTTAAAACTCGAACTTTTCAGATTTTATAAAAGTCCTAAGGTGCATAAGCCACATGTGAGTATGATGCAGCAGGCTCTGAGGCAGCATTTGCAGTGAAATGGGACATGCAATGTACACCATGAAGCACACATAGCTGGACCAAGCGGGATAAACAGCAATTATGAATGGTTATGTATCAATTCAAATCAGGTTTTGTCTCCAGACAAATTTGTGTGAAACTTATGAAAACACTTCTGAGTTTTCCTGTGTTTTGCATTTTGAAACTAGGGATCACAGACTGGTATTATCTCTTAAGCAAGGACATTCAGATTCAGGTGTAGAAGGAAAATAACATTAATATTATAAACAATATCCTGGTACTTTACACAAATAAGAAATAAAAGGAGCTTTAATAATGATCAGTTAATCATAAGCTATAACCAAATAAAACTAAATAAAATTAATCAGAATTATATAATTCAAAGACTGGCTTCCTTGAAAAAGTTAGATTTGTTACTGAATCAGTCCAACAAAACAAGGTAAAATATACGTATTTAACCAGAATGTATTAGGTGCTCGAGTAACAATTAATATACTGGTCATTGTCAAAATCTGTAAAAGGCATTATAAAAGAGTAAATAAATCAATTAGCAACTTAAACACAAGGGGAGATATTAGATTTAGCATCTGTAACATACTTCACAGAGGTATTAATGAACAATCGAAAATTAAATTAAATCCCATATCATTCTTAAAATCCTCTAATATTCTGAATCTGAGCCCATTACTTAGATAAATTCAAAGAAAATGATTAAATGATAAGCTTCCCAAAAATTTATTTCCAAAGAATACTTTACTTTGCTTAACAGATGCCAAGATATTTGAAGAACAATATTAAATCCAGTAACATTGTTATCAAAGTATGTTTAAGGGAAATACCAAAAATAAAAAACATTACATTTATTTCTCTATTAAATATAAGTCAGTCCAGATAATTTAGCATCATAAAAACTCAATCAGATATTGGTATGACAAATCAGACTGATATAACCTCATGTAACATGATTTTATTTTTAAATTAGTCTAGTCCAGTCATATCCCTTCAAAGGGGACTACTTAAGTTAGTACAAATTTCAGTACTGCCTTCAGATTTCTGTCAGTGTAAATTGTAACAGCCATGCATATTTATTAGGATGTAATTTCACCTCTGGATTTCAGTGACACTGATAAACCACTCAAGCTTCACTCTTGGTTTTTAATGTCACCAGAACAAGTTGATGGAATTACAGCTTTATATGTGCCATTGAAAGTCTTATTTCTTATAGAATAATAAGGCTGGAATCCTTAAAGGGCATCATTCCTACCACCTCCCCATGGAAAGGTGGACATCCAGTTTATTTTTTAGATCCTGTGACTTGCCTATGGTAGTTCATTCGAATGTCAGACTATAGTCATCTCTTTATTTCACACACTTGTGCACCAACACACCTCCTCCTCCTCTCTGTCCATCTCACTGCCCACCCCTGCCACCACTACACCGCAAATTTATTTCAGAAAAACATGTACTTGTATCCAAATACTTCTGATGCCTTTTGAGTCCAAACACTTTACACAACACACACACACACACACACACACACACACACACAAGCATAACTGATTAAAATAATAATAGGTAATATACACATTTTTCCTAATTCACTGGTACACACACATTTCTTTTGCTCTCTCTTCTAACCAGAAAACATATCAACACTGACTGCCCACTAAATAAGATACCAATCAAAGCAGAGAAGGGCTAACCTCTCTAAATTACCAAAAGGTCAAGCCATTAAAAGCTTGGTTTTAAAGGGCTACCAGTCAATAGAAAAACTGTAAAGAAATATTAGTAAATGCCAATACAGGAAATTAATTTAAGCAACAAAATGGTTGAAAATGAGGTTTCTTGCTGAAGTCTTAGCCCAGAAGCAAGACAACCTGGTCTGGAAGCAACCACCAAACAAGTTCAGGAAAACTAGGAAGACAGACTGGCTTTTTGGGGGGACCTTATTTTGTTTTTAAAATTATCGAATCATGAGACAAACCCAAAAAGGGCATTAATATATTGACAAAAACATCCATCAGCTACTTGGCATACTTACCTTGCATTCAATCTCTGCTTGCCTGCGCTTTGCTTCACTTAGCTGAGTGAGTAGTCCCTTGTTCTGAGCCGAAAGATACTGCACCTTCTCCTGCAGGCTGGTGACTTCTTGTTCTGCTCTTCGAAGATGGTTACTGTTGATCTGGTTCTAATAATTAAAAATATAAATACTCAGACTAAAAATAAAAGATGTGAAATTTTTAAAAAATTTTACACACCTGAATAACATTATTTAAAAATGTTAATAGCTATAGGTCGATTTTATTCAACAAATAAACACTGAAAAATAATAAAGATATAAAACTGTTTCCTTTATTTTTTTAGAAATGGGGTCTTGCTCTGTCGCCCAGGCTGGAGTATAGTTGCACAGTCATAACTTACTGCAGCCTCAAACTCCTGGGTTCAAACTATCCTCCTAGGACACAGGCTAACTAATTATTTATTTTTTTATAGAAACAGGGTCTCATCATGTTATCTAGGCTAGTCTCAAACCTCTAGTCTCAAGTGACTCTCCTGCCTTAGACTCCCAAAGTGCTGAACCAATGCACACTGCCTAAAACTTCCTTAAAAATCATATCATAAGCTAGGCACAATGGCTGCTCATGCCTGCAATTCCAGCACTTTGGGAAGCTGAGGTGGGAGAACTTCTTCAAGACCAGTCTAGGCAACATAGTGGAACCTTGTCTCTACAAAAAATAAAAAATAACTAATTTTTAAAAAATCAAATCATCCGGCTGGGCATGATGGCTCATGCCTATAATTAGAATCCCAGCACTTTGGGAGGCCGAAGTGAGAGGACTGCCTGAGCCCAGGAGTTTGGGACCAGCCCGGGCAACTTGGTGAGACCTCATCTCTACAGTAAATCAAAAACTTAGCTGGGCATGGTGGCACACGCCTATAGTTCCAGCCACTTGGAAGGCTGAGGGGAAGGTTGCCTGGCAGGTTGAGGCTGCGGTGGTCGTGAGTATGCCATTGCACTGCAGCCTGGGTGACAGAGTAAGACTCTGACTCAAAAAAAAAAAAAAAAAAAAAATCAAATCAAAGAAATACATAAGTTCCTATGGTGTAATAACATAGATACTGGTTTTCATCCACGGTTCTTGGGCTCCTAACTCCCATCACCCTTGTTAAGTCAGGTGCTTTAGGCCTGAGGAAACAGAGTCTCTCAGATCTTCTCCTGTCCTCCTTTCACCCGACTATGGGCCTTAAGACCCTCCCTAGAGAGGGTACCACCCTATACTCTGGAAGAAGAAATGCCGATGTCATGAAGTATCCACACAAACCCCAAAGAACTGGACTCGGGGAGCTTCCAGAGAGTTGGAATTTCTTGGAGGGTGGTGCACCCGGAAAGGGCAGGTGAGCTCCAAGCACCTCCCCCATCCCTCCCCCTGCACTGCTCTTCATCGATAGCCTTTGTGATATCCTTTATGACGAACCAATACACGTGTCTCCCTGAGTTCTGTGAGCTGCTGCAGCAAATCAATTGAACCCAAAGAGGGGATCATGGGAACCCCAACTTAAAGTCAGTCAGAAGTTCTGGAAGCCCAGACTTGCAACTGGTGTGTAAGTGTGAAGGGGTGCAGTTTTGGGGACTCAGCCCTCACTCCATGGGGTGTGACACTATCTCCAGGTAGGTTGGGATTGTTGGGATTGAATTAGAGCTAGGGTTCACTGCTTGGTGTATGGGGAAAAATTCCTGCATCGATCACAGAAGTCTTAGTCTGTGGTGATGACTGTTGTGGTGGTGTGAGATCAGAGGGAAAAACACAGTTTGAGTTTTCTTCCTAAAGTAGTTTCATATTAGAAACTCTCATTATAACTCAATATACCATTTATTAAAAAAATCAGTAAAATACAAAAATAATTACATACAACATGTAGGTATTGCTTTCTGAAATAGGCAATGTGGGTACAAAGTAGGTAGATACAGGAATGATAAATTTAACTTCTCTTTCCAGTTACCAAAAGAAAGCACAAATGATCAAATAACCATCACCATTTACTGGACTGTAAACTCCTTGATGTCACAAAATGTATCATGTATACTTCTACATGCCCCCAATGTTTCACACTATTTTTTTAATAGAGTGCAAACTGATTTTGAATTTTGGCTTTGCTATTTGGTCATTAAGCAAATAAGTTAATTACTCTGAGTCACTATTTCCTCATTTGAGAAACATGTATAAAAATACCGCTGGGTGCAGTGGCTCAAACCTGTAATCCCAGCACTTTGGGAGGGCAAGGTGAGAGGATTGCCTAAGCCCAGGGGTTCGAGACCAGCCTGGGAAATTTGACAAGACCTCATCTCTACAATAAATGAAAAAAAAATTAGCCGGGTGTGGTAGCACGCGCCTGTAGTTCCAGCTACTTGGAAGGCTGAGGCAGAAGAATCACCTGAGCCTAGCAAGTTGAGGTTACAGTGGCCATGAGCATGCCACTGCAATCCAGCCTAGGTGACAGAATAAGACTCCAACTCAAAAAAAAACCAACAAAAACCTTCTAAGCCAGGCCTGGTGGCTCATGCCTGTAATCCCAGCACTTTGGGAGGTAGAAGCAATAGGACTGCCTGAGTCCAAGGGATCGAGACAGCCTGGGCAACTTGGTAGACCTCGTCTCTACAATAAATCAAACAATTAGCCATGCGTGGTGGCACATGCCTGTGATTTCAGCTACTTGGAAGGCTGAGGTGGAAGGATCACCTGAGCCCAGCAGGGGTAGATAGATTTTTTTTTTCTGGCTCACACCTCTAATCCCAGCATTTTGGGAGGCCAAAGTGAGAGGACTGCCCAAGCCCATGAGTTTGAGACCAGCTTGGACAACATGGCAAGACCTCATCTCTATAATAAATCAAAAAATTATCGAGGGGTGATGGTGAGCACCTGTAACCCCAGCTACTTGGAAGGCTGAGGTGGAAGGATCTCCTGAGCCCAGCAGGTCGAGGCTGCAGTAGCCATGATTGTGCCACTGCACTCCAGCCTGGGCGATAGAGTGAGACTCCGACTTAGAAAAAAAAACAACCACTTTCTATTTTTCATGTCATTGTCTTCAGAATTAAATGAAATTATATGTCTAACAGGGACTAATATGTAGTAAGAATGCAATAAATGCTACTTGCTTATTGATTATAGTTACAGGACATGTTAAACAAAATATATAGACCTTGAATTGACTAACACTGAGGCAGTTTTCACATTCAGTCTTGACCTAGCCTGAATTCTCTCAATCCCAAAGTGTTCTAATAGTGACCTGAAAGAAACAGTAGGGACTTTCATAACCAAAACAGGTAAAAATTTAATTCCTCATTTAACAGTTCTTAAACCATGGCTGAGTAACTTATCCCATTTTAGCACACTGGTAAAAGTATAGATACTATTTCTTGCCCTTTGAGGCTGTATTGTGAAGATTATGTGAAAGAAGTTTATAAAAGGAGTCTCACACAATGCATGCAATTTTATAGATACTTAATGCTCAGTTGTTACTACTATCATACCTATTCTACCTCACCCTATGAAAATGACTCTGTCTTCAGTTGTAATGAAAAAATCTAGATCATCTAATACAGTGGTCCCCAATCTATTAGGCATCAGAGACTGGTTTTGTGGAAGACAATTTTCCCACTGATCAGGGGGAGGGGTGGTTTTGGGATGATTTAAGCACATAAGATTTATTGTACACTTTATTTCTATTATTACATTGTAATATATACATTGTAATATATAATGAAAGAATTATACAACTCACAATTTTTTTTTTTTTTTTT